TGGGTCTAGGCCCGAAATGTCAGCCTTCCTGCTCCTCTGATGCTGCTTGGCCTGCTGTGTTCATCCAGCTCTACACCTTGTTATCTCTCTTCATTTTTCATTGTTTGTTTCCCCTTGATTCAAGGATAACAACTACCTCGGGTCTTCATGTAACTGAATAGGCTGATTCTTGATCTGTAGATCCTTTAGTTATATGACATCCGTGAAGCAGTGGGATCTGGAGTGCAGGACAATGAGACTCATCATTGGGGAAAGCCACTTGACCACAGGTTCAAGAGCAGCCTCTTACCCACTGTTATCAGACTTCTGAATGGACCTCTCAAATTTCAAATCTAATGTTGATCTTGCTTTTTATGTACCTTTTCAAGTGTAACTTTGAATTCACTGCTCTGTTCAATCACCCTATGATCTTTGTGTGTTATGATCTGCCACCACATGCTCCTTGTGATCTCGATCCTTCCCACATTTACCTCTTTTTAAGGATCCATGGGTGATCCTCAAGGTAACCCCAAATGCGTACAGCAGTCACCATGGCTGCTGAAATAACTTCACAGAGGCCGGTGTCCTGTCACCAAGTCACCCTTTATTTACACATGAACAGTCCTTGTCTTTGGTACTACCTCTTCAGAGTCATCTATCAGAGTGCCAGAATTTTTGACCCTCATTTTATCTGTCAGCCAGAGCTCCCTGATTAGACCAGATTAACAACCCCAATCAGCGAATTCATATTCAATGGGGTCCAACTGACTGACCTCATTACAATCTCTATATCCCTCTGTCTGTGAATCTGAGGACAAAGGCCAGTGCTTTCTCTTGGAGAGCCTCACAGGACGTTTTAGCACTGGATTGAGTTCCTGTGACCTGGCATCCAGTACAGGTGATGTATAATGTACCGGAGATCACCTCTTGCACCAGGAGCCAGAATTTCACTCTTCTTCCAGTAGCAAAGGTGTCGAGGTGGCTACGTCTCCAATTCAGAGGACTCATCAAAGCTTAATGGAGTAGATGAACCCCAGGTTCCAGCAGCCTTTCCAACTGTTCCAAGGGGCAGGGTGCATTTTGCTCCTACACTGTTTGCAAATTTGTGCTTTTCATGTAGTCTACATTCTTGTTCAGGACCGTCACACGTACCAAAACTTTATACGTCACTGGTCCTGACCTCGCGTCTACCATGCCTCTCACCTATGCAGGACCATTTCCATGATTCTTACACCAAACTTCATCCCTGTATCAAACTTTCTGACTCGTCTTACGTCTGACATTGGACATCCCGATGCGGTTTCACCCTTCTCTGCCCAGGTCTGGGAACATTAGACTTAACTTTTGTGGAGTCTTCTACCCATTAGCAACTCAGCTATCGCTATCCCTGTAGTTGCATGTGGGGACCTGGAACACATATTTTTCCTTTCTAAGATGTATGCCTGTCTTGGAAAAACACCTTAGGACTATGTTCAAGTTCTCTGAGTGTTCCTTATTGGTTTTCCCTGTAATTAGAACATGATCTAGATAAATGGCAACCTGAGGTAGACCTTGCAAAATGTTCTGCATCGTCCACTGAAAAATTGAACAGGCTGACAATACACCAAATGGCAGTCTATAGTACATAGGTGCAAGTCTTTATGGGTATTAATTGTAGCGTACTTCTGAGAATCCTCATCTAGACACAGTTGCAAGTACAATTGGCTCATGTCAAGCTTCATGACGAACAGCCCCCTGGCCAGCTTTGCATATAAATCCTCTATCCAAGGGATTGGATATTTATCCAACTGCGAAAAGCGGTTTATCATTTATTTAAAATCCCCACAACAGCGAGCCAACCCGTCAGGCTTCAAAATTAGTACAACCTATGCTGCCTATTCCTCATAAGAGACCAGAACCAAAGTTATACCTTTTAATCTGTAATGTTTCCCTGGTATAGGTTCTCAGCCTAGCCAAAGTCTTGCGCAAACTAACTGGCTAGAGTCCAGAATGAATTTTGTTTAAAAACTGGTTCTGTGTTTACTGATACATCTGCCCTGGTATTGACCTCCATTAGAACCAGATGACCATTTAACCAGATGTTTATTTTGAATGGTTCTGATTTGGATGTTGCTAAGCAATTTAACTGTTCTGAACCAGGTGTAGGTGGACTTTCCAGGGTGTGCAGTCACCTGGATACTGGCCTATGAGTTCTCATACTCAGACTTTCCAGGGTATGAATTCTCCTAGATATTCTCCTTGGATATTGGAGTTATCTTAGTCAGTTTAGGTCTAATAGGACTCTTCAGCTGTCTCAAGTCCACATACTGGCAGCAACCATGATGGCTTACTGGCCAGGATCCTGAAGAAAATTTTAACTGTTTGGCCAAAGCTTGGCTTTGTTTTGGGGTTTTACTGTGGGCCGACCAAGAGTCCCTCTGTTCAGGATATGTCCTGAGTGAGGCTATGCAATTGCCTTTACTCAAGTGGTGATTCCCCAAGCTCAGCCGTACTGGCAAGGGTGTCCACTTCCTTTGGAATACCCTGCAACTCATGCTCCACTCACTCCATTTTCCAATGATAAAGCCAGTTGTATTGCTTGTTTGAAGTCCAGTTTGGCGTCAGCTGGTAGGCACTTTTGAATGTAATAATCCTGTATACCAAACAGTCTCTAAGTATCTCATTAATGTTTAAACCAAAGTCACATGCATCTGCCAGTTGCCTTCAGCCAGTAGTCAAAAATCCCGATTATGGATTCTCCTGGTTCTCAAATTGCCGAGTAAAAATGAGAGTATCTCAAAATCAGAGGAGGGTTGGGGTCATAATATTCCATAACTATGCCCATCAGTACTTGAAAGGTTTTAGAATCTGGTGCCTCAGCAAGTTAGGCTCCTAATAATTGAAAAAGCTGCGGCTCCACAGCTGTCAGGTGAACTATTTGTTGTTTTTTGTCTGCCACAATGTCATTTGCCCAGAAGTAAGTAACACATTCTTTCTATATACTGGGCCCAGTCTTCAATGGCAGGGTCAATTGACTCAAGCTTCGCAAACAAAGGCATGATGTAAGAAATGCTTATCCCAACTCAAAGACAACCGTTGCGTGAGGGTTTCTTCAGGAACATGCTTTACTCTTGCCGCCACTGGAATAACTCCACAGAGGTCAGTGTCCTGTCACCAAGTCACCCTTTATTGATACATGAACAGTCCTTGCCCTTAGTGTTGCCTGTTCAGAGTCAGCTATCAGAGTACCAGAATCTCTGACAGTCCTGGTTTTATCTGTCAGCCAGGGCTCCCTGATTGGACCAGATTAACAGTCCCTATCAGGGAACTCATATTCTATGAGGTCCAGCTGGCTGATCTTGTCACAATCACTACAGTTGATTCTGACTGGCAGTCCTTGAAGGTGAGATTACTACCTTACTGGGACTTAATTGCATGGGAAGCCCAAGTGTCCAGGTAAATGCACAGGGTTATCACCAGTTTACCAATCACTGGGTGGGATCTGTGGCACAAACATTAAAATCTACATATTGTTTTCTTTAGTACCAATGGTAAAAATTATGTCCTGAATATATAATCGTAAGTGACCCATTTTAATCAATGATGTCTGAGAGCAGCTAATCTAATTGATAAGAGTTTTTACAATGCAACACAAGCTGGATTTTTTGTACATTTCTGTAATTCTGACATAGCACACAAGATTTAATCCACTATCGTGAAACATCAACATTAGTGCTTTTCATTAAAATTATAAAAAGAGTTGGATTGAGTAAAATACGTTACAGTTTTTCAAGTTACAACCAAATATTCATTTAAATCATTATGTTGTATCTTTTATTATAGGATATGGTCCACATTGAAGAAATGGAATTGGCTTACAAAGCATTAGTGACATTGAAATTTTTCCTGAGGAATATTGGCAATTTTGTTCTGACTTCTGACCTACTTCGACCACTGTTGCTGCAGATATTACAAAAGTTCACAATAGGAAACAATGCACAGTCTTCCAAAGGTAAGCCATAGAGATGTACAGGTTCTGGAAGGAAAATCAGATTTTGTGTATGAATAGTAACCATTCATCTTTGCCTGTTCATTACAAAAGTATTAGTCAATTAGGTTTCAGTTATTGTTGAATTAAAACTTGCATTAAACCAGTTGTCAGATTAGACATTCAATTGCATTATTTCACAGGACATTCATTAGTTAATAGCTGGTTAATGGAAAGGAACATCTGAGGCTACATGTGAGCGAAGAAGCTTTCCTTGCTCATTTATTGGAGGGAAGGCCTTGAAAGAACTACCTGAGAAAGACCTTGGATCTGGAAAGTTAGGGAGCTTGGTCAGTTTGGGAAGTTATGAAACTGTGGCTGCAAGGAAATAAAAGTAATTAACTCCATGTTGAATAATGCGTGATCTGAAAATTGTTTGGAAAATATAGTGTAAAAATATGTAGTCAGCTGTTCAGGTTATACTTGTTATGCCAGTGGTAACTGTCACTGTTACTCATTTCTTGGACATATAATAATGCCAAAAGATTTGTGTAAAAGAATAAGGACCATATAAATTTGTTACATTACTGTCAGAGTTCTAATTAAAGTTTGTTTTAGCAAAGCAGTAGAGTTTATATGAGTAATTCATTATTCAGAATAAGCAACACTACAGCACAAAATATGTTGTCCACTTCAATGAGAATTATTGCAGAACAAAAATAGGAAATGAGTAAAACACTATATTCTAAAAATTGAATAGTCTGGAGTGATTTAAAAGAGGGAGTGTTATTTTTCTAAAAGGGTAAACAGGTGCTAAATTGATTAAAAATACAGATGCGAAATAGATATTGTGCTAACAAGGTATGCCTGTTTCACTGTCAAATTTTAACACAAAGTTTATTTAAATTGCCAATTATAATAATTTGAAGTTACCCAGAGGTGCTAAAAAAAAGGTGCTTGCAAAGCGTTTAGACACATTTTCCTTTGGCGCAGTATACACAAAGTTGTGCACTGCATTGGTGAGCAAAACAGCAGGTTTCAGGATGGCTCGGACTGAATGAGATGGAGCACAGGTTTTAAGACACAGCACTTGCAATCCTGGTGGAGGAGCTCAGGAAGAGAAGGCAGGTCCTATAAAATTCAGGGAGGAAAGAATCTACTCATCTTTTGAACCCAGTCTTCAGTATGAACCAATGCTGGCTTCTTCCCGTTCTTCCTGTAGACAAAGAGAGACCCTAATTACTCATTTTCTCCTCGTGACTATAAAAAGACCTCCAATGAAGTAGAATAGCACACCATTCACTTTTTTTTAAGTAATGTCCTTAGAAAATTTCAAGAATAAAATCAGGAGTGTGATGGAACACTCCTCACTTGCCTGGATGGCTGCAGCTCCAGCAACACTCAAGAAGCTTGACACCATCCAGGCAAGTGAGGGCTGGATGCAGCCCTCTTGATTAGCACCACATCCACAAGCCTTCACTCCCTTCACCAAAGAAATTCGCCAAAGACAGCACCTTTCAAACCCCGACCACTTCCATCTAGAAGGATAAAGGCAGCAGATACATGGGAATACCACCACTACCTGCAAGCTCCCCTCCAAGCCACTCACCATCCTGACTTAGAAATATATTGTTGCTGGGTCAAAATCCTGGGATTCTGACCCTGTGGGCATTGTGGGCCACCCTACGGTACGTGGGCTGCAGCAGTTCAAGAATGCACCTCACCACTACCTTCTCATGGGCAGCTAGGGTTGGCCAATAAACTCTGGCCCAGCCAGCAATGTCTGTGCCCCACAAATGAAATCCTTTAAAAAATGTAGTCTTGATATTCTGTCCCAGAAAGTCTCTTGATGTGATTCAAAAGTCTCCAAATCCCAGTGAACAGCAAAAGGTGGCACAAAAGCTCTCTGCAATGTCTTCCTTACTCCCAATCAGCTAGTTCTTTTTAGGAGAGGATGTTAGGTTAAATTGCTATGCATCAGAATGCAGCTTCCTTAATGAATATTAACAGGTTAATTTAGGTAGTAGTCAGCACCTTAATGGTCCTCTAGGTGGCCATTCTGATTACAGATTTGAACTCCTTTACGAAAATGTAATTTTGTAATAGACCCGAATAAACGAGCATTTCAGCTTAACACATTTAGATTACATCAGAGGTCCCTTAGTGCCTGAAAGCAAGGTTGCCCAGCCCAGATTTTCTGAGACTCTCCTGCATCCCCACTTGATGGCTGCCAGGACACATTTTGTTCCCTTTTCATATCCTTCACTTTTGTGCATGTGTTTTCTCGTGCTCTGCTCCCAGCTGTCTGCTTGGCACATACACAGTTTAGGCAAAGCCAAAGCATCCCTTAATTTTCTTCCATGATAGTTGGTTACCCTGCCCATCAAAAATCACCCTCTTCATCTTTTCTTGGGCTGTGATTTGTATTGTGCATTATTACCATTATTGCACCCGTTATCTGCAGCCTTACAATTGGATTAGTCATTTGAGTTTACCAACATGTCTCCTATATTTTCAACTATTGCATTGTAATTTGAGGATTACCAGTCTTTACATATAATCCAGCATCTGCAGTTCTTTGTTTTATTTACATGTAATCAATATTTTCTCTGTTAATCAGGAAACAAGAACCTGTCTTTAGTACTGGACCTTCTTTCACTCATACAGTTAAAATTCGGAGATCTTGAGGAAATGGGCAGTATTGATTTCAAGCTCCTCTACCATGGTATAATTATTATTATTGTTGGGATTATGTCAAAAATGTTTTTATTAGTTTCTCCAGTTTATGAGTAACTCAGACCATCAGCTTTCTACGACTGTTTGAACCTTGCTGTCAACATGATTTCTCAAAGGTCTACTTCATAGGCAAACATGAATAACTTCTTGATCCACCCTGTGCTTGTACGTACAACAGCATAGTGGTTGTGTTACTGGACTAGAAATCAAGAGGACTGGACAACTGGTCCAGGAACCTGAGTTCATTTACTGCCATGGCAGGTATGGAATTTAAATCCAGTTAATTAAACAAATTAGGGATAAAGTACCCAGAGACAAGCAATTCTCATTTTAAGGGGTCAATAAAGGGTTGGACCTGCCCACATACATCCGTGATTCCCCTGAAGCTTTACGCCGGTTTCAAACTTCCAGTTTGCAGGTTCAAGCTGTTTCCTCTTTACTATGGACGTGCAATCCCTTGACATGTCCAGTCCCCACCAGGAGGGTCTCGGGGCTCTCTGCTTCTTCCTGGAGCAAAGACCTGAACCGTCCCCACACACCACCACACTCCTTTGCTTGGCCGAGCTCGTCCTCACCATCAACAACTTCTCATTTTCTTCAGGTCAGAGGGGTGGCCATGTGTACCCGCATGGGCCCTAGTTATGCCTGCCTCTTCATGGGCTATGTGGAACATTCCTTATTCCAGTCCTTTTCTGGCCCCAACCCATAACTCTTTCTCCAATATATCGATGATATCGTCGGTGCTGTTTACCTCTCTCGTTTGGAATTGGAAAAGTTCATCGATTTCACTTCCAGTTTCCACCCTGCCCTCACTTTCACCTGGTCTATCTCTGACTCTTCCCTTCCTTTCCTTGACTTCTCTGTTTCCATTTCTGGGGATCGATTGGCTTCTAATATCGACTATAAACGCACTGACTCCCGTGGCTACCTGGACTATACGTCCTCACACCCTGCTGCTTGTAAAGACTCCATCCCATTCTCTCAGTTCCTGTGTCTCCATCGCATATGTTCAGATGAGGCCACCTTCAACAAGGGAGCCTTTGAAATGTCCACCTTTTTCCTCAACCGAGGATTCCCCAGTACTGTTGTCGACAGGGCCCTCAACCAGGTCCGACCCATCTCCTGCACTTTTGCCCTCACCCCTTCTCTTCCCACGCACAACAACGATAGGGTTCTCCTTGTCCTTACCTACCATCCCACCAGCATCCACGTCCAGAAGATCATCAGATGCCATTTCCGCCACCTCCAGCAAGATGCCACCACCAGACATACATTCCCCTCCCTTCCCTTGTCCGCCTTCCGCAGGGACCATTCCCTCCAGGGCACCCTGGTTCACTCTTCCTTCACCCCAACAGCCCCCACAGCCCCATGGCACCTTCCCCTGCAACCGACGAAAGTGCAACACCTGCCCATTTACCACCTCCTACCCCACTATCCAAGGGCCCAAACATACCTTCCAGGTGAAGCAACACTTCACCTGTAATTCCTCTTTACTATGGACGTGCAATCCCTTTACATGTCCAGTCCCCACCAGGAGGGTCTCAGGGCTCTCTGCTTCTTCCTGGAGCAAAGACCTGAACCGTCCCCACCCACGAGTTTTTTGCATTTGCTGCTCACAATGAGGTCCCTACATTGGGGAAACGAAACATAGACTGGGTGACCGCTTTGCAGGACATCTACGCTCTGCTCACACAAAAGACTCTGAGCTACCTGTTGCCCGCCACTTTAACACACCACCCTGTTCCCTGGCCAACATCTCTGTCTCTGGCTTGCTGCAGTGTTCCAGCAAAGCCCAACGCAAGCTGGAAGAACAACACCTCATTTTCCACTTGGGGGCCCTGCTGCCCTCCAGACTCAATATCGAGTTCAATAATTTTAGGGCCTAAACTCTCTCATGTCCTATTCCCTACCCCACCCACCAGGCCTTGTTATCACATAGCCTGCCATTACACACTACCTATTGTTAGTAACTAACAGTCCCCATTAATAACTATTCACCCTCCCAGCCAGATCGTTATCCACTCCTTTGTATATCCAACTGCTCTTCTGTCTCTTCGGGCTCTATCCTATCGTTAACTCCCTACTCCATCGCCCTCCCTATTTTCTGTGTATAAACCAACATTTTCCCAGCTTTCCGTTTGTTCAAAAAGTACACAATTTACAGACAGTCAATCAATGTGGTGTTTTATAAATTCCTGATTTAGAAATAAAACCAGTCTGACTCCAAACAAAAACACAAATAGGTTTTAGACAAGGCCTCTCACCTAACATGCTTTGCCTGACCTAAAATGTCACTTCTTCTTTACACTAATAAAACCTTTAGTTCTCTCAGGACAGTGATTTGAAAGGAATTCAGGGATTTACATATACATATTAATCAATTAAAACCTTCTAACTGATTAAAGATTTAACAGCATCTTAGATTTAATACATCCTCATCAGTGGTGTGACCCTTTGACCTTTTACCAATAAATTCTGTGTCATATACTACCTCTCTCACTAAAACCTGAAGAACGAGCGAAGCTCCGAAAGCTTGTGTTTTCATATAAACCTGTTAGACTATAACCTGGTGTCATGTGATTTCTGACCATGAGCTAATTGGCATAGGTTTAATAATATCAAACAGTTGAATGCCTATGAAAGAAGTAGGTTTTGATTCATGGGCATTAACTCATTACAGGGTGTGCAGGGAGATATGTTGTTGGGATAATCTTCACCTGAACTGTGATGGGACTGTGTCCTGTAGAGTGGTCTGTAGAGTAGGCTTTGAATAGTGGTGGGAAGAGTTCAAGTGTAGGGAGATTTAGAAAGTTAAAGAGAAAGGATAAGGCAATAGAATGGGGTTGCAATATGAGTACAGGTGACCAGAGTGTGACTGTAAGGAACAGAGCATTAAAAACAAAAATATACCAGCAAAAATGGTCAAAATAAGGGAATATTGATTTTAAATTATTATAAGGGATGAGGATTCTGTAGAAGGGAGATTTGGAAAGACAAATGTAAAATTTGAGGTGATAGTAAAATTTGTTGATGTGGATAAAGAAATCTGAGTGATACAGGAAGGAATAGAGACTTTAATGATATTAATTGATCAGAGGGTAAAATCCATACAAGAAATAGTCGTAAAAATTAATCGAAGTCATTTTATCTTCCACAATAAGATGGGTTAATTAGTGGCGCAAATAAAGATGAATAGTTTAGATCTAATCACCAGTACAGAGACGTGACTAAACCTGGGAAGTAAATATTACAGGTTACACATTTCGTAAAGAGACCACAAGACCATAAGAAGTAGAAACAGGAGTAGGCTGTTAAGTCCCTCAAAACTGCTCTGCCATTCAATAGGATCATGGCTGATCCAACACTCTTCGCATCTATTTTCCTGCCCTTACCCCATAACATTGATTTTCCAATTAATCAGGAATCAATCTATCTCAGCTTTAAATATACACAAGGATTCTACCCCCACAGCTCTCTGTGGCAAGAAGTTCCAAGATTCTCAAACCCTCTGAGAGAAGAAATGCCTCCTCATCTCAGTCTTAAAGTGATGCCCCTTGGTTCTGAGACAATGCCTGCTGGACCTAGACTCTCCCATGAAGGGAAACACCCTGTCAGTATTTACCCTGTCAAACCCCTTAAGAATCCTATATGTTTCAATGAGATATCCTCATTCTTCTAAATTTCAACGAGTAGAGTCCAAAACTGTTTAACCTTTGCTCATCAGACAATCACTCCATACAGGGCTTCTAATGAAATAGAATCTTTTCTTAAATAAGGGGACCAAAACTACATATTGTACTCCAGATGTGGTCTCACCAGCACCTTGTACAGTTTCAGTAAGACTTCTCTACTCTTATACTCCAACCCCCTTGAAATAAGGACTAACATTCCATTCGCCTTCCCGATTACCTGCTGCACATGCGCAAGCTTTCTGTGTTTCATGCCCAAGTCCCTTTGTGTTGTAGCTTTCTGCAGTTTTACTCAAATAAAGTAACACTCTGTTCTTTTATTCTCCCTTCCAAAATGAACAACTTCACATTTTCCCACAATACACTCCGTTTGACAACATTTTGACCACTTAATTAACCTATAACTATCTCTTTGTAAACTGTTTGTAATCTTCTTGCAACATTTGTCTCCAACATTTTTGTGTCATCTACAAATTTGACCAAAATACATTCGCTTCCTTCCTTCAAGACGTGAATATATTGTAAACACTTGCGGTCCCAGCATTGATCCTGAGGAACTTCACAGGTCACCATGTTGAAAAAGAACCCTTTATCCCTGAAATAACTCCAAAGAGGCTGGTATCCCATCACCAAGACACCCTTTATTTACATGTGGAGAATCCTTGACACTGATCCAGCTTTCTCAGAGTGAGAAGAACCGCTGACACTCCTGTTTATATCTGTCAGCCAGGGCTCCCTGATTGGACCAGGTTAATAGCCCCAATCAGAGAACTCATAATCTGTGATGTCCACCTGACTGATCTCGTTACAATCACTACAGTCTCCACTTGTGTTTTCTGGCCATTTTCCAATTCTCTATCCTTGCCAATATACTACTTCCAGCACTGTGGGCTGTTCGAAGACATAATGGAAAATGAAGAGTAGCCCTAATATTAGGAGTGAAATAAAAACATCTGCGAAGAAGGATCTTTGCTCCAAAAATTGGGAAATAGAATCATTGTGAGTAAGTTTGGGAATGTCAAGGGTCAGAAACATTTGTGGGAATAGTTAAATGGCTCTCTAATACTATTTACCATTTACCGTTAAACAATAAATTATTGTAGCTTGTAACATAGTGTAGGAGTTTGGGAGGTGACCTGTTAGAAGTTTATAAAATAATGAGAGGTATGGATAGAGTTGATGGGTAGTTGCCTTTCCCCTAAGAAGGGGAATTTCAACAGAAGGGGGCACATTTTTAAGGAGAGAGGAGACAGATTTAAAAAAGACATAAGAGGCAAATTTTTTACACAGAGGGTGGTTTGCATGTGGAATGAACTTCCAGATGAAGTGGTGGATGCAGGTACCATTACAACGTTTAAAAAACATTTGGATGGATATATGAATAGGAAAGGTTTGGAGGGATATGGGCCAGGAGCAGACAGGTAGGACTAGTTGAGTTTAGGATTATGTCCGGCATGAACTGATTGGATCAAAGGTTCTGTTTCCATGCAGTATGACTGTATGATTCTAAGTATTTTTTGCCTGCCTTCACAATAGAGGAAACAAGCAATATACCAGAATAAGGGGATAACCTTGAGGCTAATAAGTGTGAGGAAATCAAGGCAATTAATATCAGTGGTGTAAAAGTGCTGGAGAAACTTGAGGAACTAAAATATAACAAATCCCCAGGACCTGTTTGGCCACATTCTACAGTTCTTAAAAATATAGCTGTAGAGATAGTGGATGGGCTGGCTATGAATTTCCGGACTTCACTAGATTCTCAAATAGTTCCAGCAGGTTTGAAGTTAGCAGATGCATTCAAGAAAGGAAGGAGTTAGTAAATAGAGGACTATAGCGCCGTCGGCTAACATCAGTCATTAGGGAGGTACTGACATCCATTACTAAAGAAGTCTTAAAAATGCTGTACAATCAGATCAAGTCAAAATGGTTTTATGAGAGGAAAATTCTGTTTGATATATTTATTGGAAGGTTTTTGAGTATATAACTAGCAGGTTGTACAAAGGAGAACTGATAGATATAGTATGCTTGATTGCCAAGAGGTATTTGATAAAGTACCACATAAAGGGTATATATAAGATGAGAGCTGATGCGGTTGAGGATTTTTTTCTCTCAGACAGTAGTGAACCTGTGGAATTCTTTACTGCAGAGGATAGTTCAGACTAGTTCGTTATGTGTATTCAAGGCTGAGATAGACAGATTTATAAACTGGAAAGGTTATGAGGATAAGGCAGGAAAGTGGAGTTGACAATTATCAGATCATCCACAATCCTACTGAATGGCAGAGCAAATTCAATGGATTGAATGACCTACTTCTGCTCCAACATCTCATGGCCTTATAGTTGGGCATGATGTATTAGCTTGGATAGAACATTGGTTAATGGACACAAAGCAGACAGGAAGAATAAATGGGACCTTCTCAGATTGGCAAGGTGTGATAATGCAGTACAGCAAGGATCACTGCTGGGGCTTCAGCTATTCACAATCTATACTACTGCCGTAGATGAAGGGAAAGAATATAATGTGTTTGTTTGCTGACAACATAATGTTAGGTGGGAATACAGGCTGTAAGAAGGGCATGAAGAGTTTGAAAACAGAGATATACACACATTATGTGAGTGAGCAACAGGGTTGCATTTGGAGTATAATGTGGTAACTGAGGTTATTCAATGGCTGTTAGAATAGAAAAGCAGATTTTTTGAAAGAAAGGAAGACTTAATTGCTGATGTTCAGAGAGACATGGGTATATTCATACAAGGAATAAAGTTAGGATGAGGTTTGGCCACTTAAATTCCATGCTCCTTACTCTTGTTGCAAAGATCAGACAGTTTTGGCTATCCTGACAAAGATTTCTGCTGTAACCATAACATTCCACAGTAAAAATGTTCTGATTGTGGTCTAATTGTAGTTTTTTTTTCAGGGGGGAGATTTTAATCATGCGGAAGAACTGTTGTGTTTACTCATGTACAGCAATAGTCGCTGGAGCTCAGAGTAAATGAGTTCTTATTTCCTATGGTGCAAAATAAGTTGTACTGTCATTATTACATTAATGTTGATGTCATGTGCGCACCATTTCCATTTCCAAATGTAGCTGATCCATGTAGATCAGATTCTTCAAAAACAATGAGTACATGTTCTAACGATGGCCATGAATCCATTGTCGATTGTCGGAAAAACCCATCTGGCTTACTAATATCCTTTAGGGAAGGAAACTGCCATCCTTACCTGGTCTGGCCTAGATGTGACTCCAGACCCACAGCAATTGGTTGACTCTCAATAGCCCTCAGGGCAATTAGGGATGGGCAGTAAAGGCTGCCTAGCCAGCGACACCCTCAGCCTGTTAATGAATAAACAAAAAAAATGCTAATACACTGACATTATTATCCTTCAGCTAGTTTTGATATTAGTATAATATGCACAAATTATAACGCAGAATTACTGCATTTAAAAATTAATGCTCGTTTATCTTCTTTAAGTGAGTAACGTGGCAGGAAAATGCAAAACCTTGAGCACAGAACTCCTCCAACCTGCTTTTAATTTCTTCTACTGCAGTTTGAAACAGACCTCAGGCCACAACAGAAACAGAGGTAATTAAGCAGAGCACATCTGGAGCTTTATATACATTTAATTACTGTTTCAGTTGCGGGGTTAACAATGAAAAGTCCCCTTTCTGAGATCAGGTCACTAGTCAGATTTGGCAAAGCAACTTATAAGTGAGATAAAAAGGTGTAGAGCTGGATGAACACAGCAGGCCAAGCAGCATCAGAGGAGCAGGAAAGCTGACGTTTCGGGCCTAGACCCTTCTTCAGAAAAATCTTCTGAAGAAGGGTCTAGGTCTGAAACGTCAGCTTTGCTGCTCCTCTGATGCTGCTTGGCCTGCTGTGATCATCCAGCTCTACACCTTGTTATTTCAGATTGTCCAGCATCTGCAGTTCCTACTATCTCTGAAACAGTTTATAAGTGATACTTGATGTGTCACTAACCATCTTCAGTCCTTTGCTGTTTTGGCTGACAGGATTTGATGTTTTAGAATTTTTACAAATGTGTAACACATTACTGAGAGTAAGGATTATTTATCTGGACTTTCATTTGCATTGGTTTCACGTTTGCCGATATCACTTCAAAGGTTGTGAAGCACTTTGACACAAATGAAAATATGAAAGATGCTACATTAATGTGTTTTGTGTCTATTAACTTGACACACAGAGAAAACCCACCAGTTACTAGCTCAAAAACTAGAAACCCAAACTTATTGTATTGAATATATGTACATAGCAGTCACACACTTAATATCACACTGCAACAAAGTGTCAGCCATGCTGTCTCTGCCATGAGCAGCATGGTTTGCTGGCTGCTGTGCCATTAAATTGCCGGTGAGGGGTATCACCGGATTGCCAATGCTTGCCTGAATTCACAGCAGCCTTTGAAAAACAGCACAAGTACAAGGTATGCCTGTCTTTTAGCAGATGTCCACTGAGTGGTGAGTTGTTCCAGGAATGGCACACAGTAAATGATGGACTAAAGTTGAACGAGAGGAATACCATAAGGGCAGATTAGGTAGTTAATGAGGTGAATGGAAAGCTGTGAAGCGAAATGTCACTAGGCTTCACTGCGAAAAGCCCTCCAAAAAATTCTACACAACTGGCACTTAGCTTAAAAAAAGTAAGACTCAGTTCTGATGAAGGGTCCCGGCCTGAAACATCGACTTTCCTACTCCTCTGATGCTGCCTGATCTGCTGTGTTCCTCCAGCTCCACACTGTATTGTCTAAGATTCAGCCCAGTGTATTTAAGATTATTTGAAGGATTTTTCAACATCCATTGTATGAGATCTTCTGCCCACCACATTTGATGTCACTGTGATCCTGGTTCAGTCTCCTATCATGGATAAGGTATGCAGAATGAATTCCCAGTCATTGAGACAGACCAGATTGTTGTTTGGATAAATTTGGTAATGCTACAAGATCAGAAGAAGTATGAGCTAAAATCAAAGTAGAAAAAGAGCCCTGAAGGGAAAAATCACATTTTACTTTGAAGGTTAGGGGTCACTATGGAGAGAGAGGAGGCAGTTTCAAGGCCTTTATCGTCTAACGAATGCAGTAGTAAGCTTGCCATTGTTACCTTCTGTAACTGCTAGTAATAGCAACAGCAAAAAAGCAAATTGAGCAGTTTGCTGATGCTGCCTCCACCATTATTTGCCGGTTGGAAATGGGAAAAGACCTTTTTGTGGCTTTGTTAGCTTGGATAGACAGAGAAAAATAGAGCGTAGTGCTAGGATGCAAGGGTAGGGTTTGCTACTTAATTTTTAATCTATCCTGCCTGATTTAGGTCAGGATAGTCTAGTAAAATCCTCATCTGAGTTCCTGGGAAACTCTTTTCAGAATAAATCAAATTTGACAATTGCATTTAAATATTTATTTTCTGTCATTTATTTAAAAAGATGAGGACATAAGTATGCATTTATAGGTATAAATGTGTGGTGCAAGCACGTCAAATATGTTCATTGTTTTAATTACGCAGTTGTATCTATGTTGCTGTCTAATTCCTGTCTGATGGAGTTGTTGGAGAAGATTTTAGAGCTGAGCTGGTCAGAGCAGTGTACTCTTGAACGTCTCCCTGATGACCTGATTAGTTCAGTCTGGTTATTAATAGGCTGTTTAGTCCAAAGCCAGACCAACTGTAAGTCAGAGGTTAGTAGTACAAATTAATTAAGTTTCCTCAAAAGTGTCTAGACCTTTAGAATGTGTTGCTAGATTGATTACTTAAATGTATTTTAATTTTGTGTGTGTTTAAAAGTTCCTACTGTTCAAATGTTTAATCATCCTTAATGTTAACAATTAACAATGAAACTGTTGATCTAAACATTTAGAATGAAATAGAATAGAATACAACCTTCTATGTAGATAGTTGATTGTAACAGAATAGGTATAGATTCTGGTCTGCAGTAAGGAGCAAGCTTCTAAAGGTTATGTCTCAACTATTTTGCTATCTGGTTTAAGTTATTTTAGTTATATAATCTTGAAGATAAATAACTTCTTAATCACTTAATGTTTTCATACATTTTTGGTTTTTCCTTCAATGCCTAGCTTCCAGTTTGGATAGTCCACTTGCCTCATCTCTTTCCTTCCTACCTACTACCTTCTACTCTTTTGTCCCATTCTTCCTCTTCTCAGTCAAGACTCGTCAATACCGTCAGACTTTCACGCGGTAGACCTTTTACAACTCTGCTGGTAAGCCAGCATTCAGTTACAATATTATAATGAATGCTTGAAGTATATCAACAAAGATGAAAAAGATCTCCTGTGTGGATTGAGCAATGAAACAAGCCAGCTGGGGAAATTTGCACTGGAGTGAGAAGTCTTTAATGAATGTATAATTTGTTATAAATTATGTCGGAAGACCTTTAAGTCTCAACACAATAAAGCTACTGCACTGAACAATTAATGATCACCCAGGCAAACTCCAGGTGCTGATTTGTGCATATACCTGCTTGTTTATGGTTGCTTCTGCAAGGTGTACTTAATGTGTCTTATGTTGTTGTGATAGTAGCCTACTGCCTTTCATGCTTTGTACAAGATAGTTCTGGCTTGTATCCCCTGGGTCCTTGTGCCATAATGGAGCCACCTACATCTGTGCAGAGTCCACCTCAGTCATCAGAAAACATAAAGTATTAATGTCACTGTCAAAGTGACTGAGGACCCACCATCTTCAGTTGTTGAAGCAGCTTGTGACGAACTCTATTGCCTTAATTCGATCCCTCCTAATTCCAAGTGGCCATGCACTCCAGTGGTTGCCGGCAGTATGTCATCTCCTGGCAACACAGAGTTGCATGGTTGTCTCATTTGCCTGTTCATTGCTCTACAGCTCATGGATGAAGTTATGCTATGTATGTTTGCCTGTACGCATAGCATCTGTTCAATGCTATGTGCCTCTCCATGAGGGTCGTCATTGTTTCCATGGTGAAAGCCTATGTACCAGAGAAATTGCGCCTAACATGGTATGGATAGACTCCTCAATTGTTCGGGAGACTACCGTCTCTGGAAATTGACAGATGTTCACACAGTTCACACTACTGCTAAAATATCTACTTGCTGATGACGTTTGAGGCTCATCCCTTGCATGGATAGAAAGTTGCTTGACAAATGAGTATCAAACAGTTGTTGCTCGTGTTTCAAATGTATTGACTTGCAGGTTTTACAGTCTGTCACACCTGTTTGTATTGAAGCCAACAAAAGGCAAACTTCATGCCTCCTCATTTCCATGATTATCTGAATGAAACACAGCACAACTGGCCCTGCTGGCTGGCGGCATGCACACAGGGGACCATGCATTGCATCTAGCCTCTTGTCCTTCAAAGCAGCTTGTTCCTTTTAAAAAGGGAAGTTGCACTGAATCAAAGGAAGCTGCTAAGTTACTTGGAAACTAGGGATTGGTTAGCTTGGCTGGCTAGTTTGCAATGCAGCATGATGCCAAAAGCATGGGTTCAATTCCCATACCGGTTGAGGTTACTATGAAGGACTGCCCTTCTCGGGCTCTCTCGTTGTCTGATACATGATGAACCTTAGGGTAAACCTCAACCAGTCATCCATCTGTAATGAGAGAACAGCCCTAAGTCCAGCAGGACTATGGTGACCTTACCTTTGCCTTTACTTGGAAACTAGTCAGGAGGAATTCCTGGACATAGAGAACAATCTGCAGTCATACAATCATACAGCACGGAAACAGACCCTTCAGTCCAAACAGTCCATGCTGACCATAATCCCAAACTAAACTAGTCTTGCCTGCATTTGGCCCATATCCTTCCAAACATTTCTTATTCATGTACTTATCCAAATGTCTTTTAAATGTTGTGTCTGTACCATCGTCCACACTTCCTCTGGAAATTCATTCCACATACGATGACCTTAGTCATATAGGTTGACGGGAGGAGAGATGTCATGATTCCATTGGAAGGCCAGGTCTTTCAAGGTATGTACCCAAGCAAGTGTGAGCAGCCCAGGTAGGAAGATCAGTGCAAGAATTCAAGGACCTAGCAGCAGTGCTGGAGGAAGTTTAATAACCTTGCGTCTTCACATAGCATCTCATACTTACTACATTCCAACCTTTCTCACAAGTCAGTGCACTATACCCCCATCAGCCACTCAGCAAGATTCGCCCAACATTCATATGATCTTCCTAATTCTTTCACCTTCCAATGATAGCAGCCTCTCACCCACTCTAATCAGCTATGGCAGGCACGTTACTCAAACACAATGAAGCACAATCACTGAAATTCTTCACTGTCTTTTGCTACTTGGCATGATGGGCATCCGTAGAAAGGATGACTGTGGAACTTTTCTTGATATACCTCATACCTTTCCTCAGCCTAACTCTAATCTTCTGCTGCCTGACTAACATAGCAGTCCAAAGTAGAGAGAAATCAACCCTGATTTGACAACACAACGGCTAGCCCAGATACTGGCTCTATTTTGCATCTTCAGGGCTGCTATGGAGTTCAGATTTGCAAGTGGTGAGTTAATGGATAGAATTACTCTAGCCGTGCATGGGAAAAGATTTCCCTTGTATTAGCTCACCAGAAATCAAGTTCATGTCTGAGTTCAGCTGTAGGCATCTCAGATAAGAGCTGCATACAGGAGAATACTGAAAATGCAGACCAAGAGTTCTGATGCATTATCATGTCTGCCACACTGCTCCTATCACTATCAGTATAACATGAATGAAGCCACTCTAATATGACAGAAGGTGTCCTCCCCACTGTAGGAATGGTGAGCTAACAAATGACAGTACTTATGGACCCAGCATTGATGCAGAATCTGATCACTTATGGTTTGCAAAGCATCCAATGTCTGAGTGCTGTAGTGGAAACTCAGATGGAGGTCATGTGATCTGTGCATTAAAACTGTATGCAGGCTGTCACAACTGTCCAGCAATTTGTGTTTATTCAGATTACTGAGTGCTACCTTGTGATTCACAAACCTGCTATACCTCATAAGGTGTACATATTAATACTCCCACCTCTACAACTCCACCAGTGTCCTCACTGGTGGTCTAAAGGTAGGACTTGAGACCCACACTACCTGAAGGGCATCTCGGCAAGCCATCTGCATTCACTTCCAGTGTGAGACAACAGATTACTGGCCAAACTGTAGCACAATGTCAGAGCACCAGGACAGCCAAAGACACCCACTAGGCAGGCAAAGAGAATGCGTAACAATGAATAGTTTACTGTTACTTGTAAAAATAGGGGTGTTTTCAGATTTTTGGCTAAAGCTGTTAATGAAAATATTTGATAGATAGCTTTTACTGTTAAGGTGTTGGCCAAGGTGAATGCTGTAATGAAGTGTTAGACGGATGTTATAATGATGAATGGTGAATCCATAGTGGTAAAAAGAGGTGGTCCTGTGGGAACTGGAGTCTGAACAGGTGTTCTTGGATAGTCCATCTGAATCAAATGTATCCAGGATTCCATCTCTTCCTAAGGTGACTTCCAGGATTCCTGGTAAAAATGTGAAGAATGTAGCAGACTGTCATGAACTTGGGCAAATAGTCTGGTTGGTACTGGAGGGCACTCTTTCAGTGGTCCAGGTGTCAGAATACCTGTGGTCTGCTCCATGGCGACCACCCCATGGCCATCGTTATAGTCCCTGGTCAGGTTGGAGATGTCAGTCACGCACTGCATCTGCAAGAGCTAACCATTGTCCCTGAGCAGCCACCTTCTGGTTCACCGGACTGTTGTGAAGTCAGAGGGAATGATATTCTGCCTCAGGATGCCTCAAAATGAAGGCATTATGGCTGCTGTCAGGATGGCCATATAGTAACTGTACATGAATGGAATGGTAGCCCTTGCAATTCCTGTACCTCTCAGTGTTGATATGGGGATCTCACAGTGCCAGGTGTGATCTGTTGATTGTGCCCTCCACCATTCAGAGTCCAATTCTCCTGGCATAGCCATGTTCCCTCATCCTGCTTCTCTTGTTGAGGAGAAAACCCATGATAGTTAGGATCTTCCATCCAGGACCCTCCATGCAGAACCTTTACTTCCTCCTCTTTGCAGAATTTCTCTTTGCTACAGCCTTTGCTTCATATTATTCATTCAGGGCACATGGGCTTCCCTGGCCTGGGCCAGGATTTATTGTTTATCCTTTATTGTTCTTAAGAACATACTAGTAAGCTGCCATCTTGAACCATTGCAGTCCATTTGGTGCAGGTACACCCACTATATTGTTAAGGAAAGAGTTCCAGACCCAGTGACAGTGAAATAACAGAAATATATTTCCAAGTTAAGTTAGTGAGTGACTTGGAAGGGGACATCATGGTGCTCCTGTGTATCTGCTGTCCTCATACCGCTAGATGGTAGTGGTTGTGGGTTTGGTAGATTCAGTCTAAAGAGCCTTATTGAATTTCTGCATTACTGTGCATCGGAGGTGGAGGGAAGTAATGCTTGTGAATATAGTGTTAATCAAGCACTGCTTTGTCCGGGATGGTGTCAGCTTCTTGAGTGTTGTTGGATCTGCACTCATCCAGGCAAGTGAGGAGAGTTCTGTCACCTTTGTTCCTTGTAGTTGGTAGAACGTTTTGGGGATTCAGGAAGTAGGTTACCCACTGAAGGATTCGTAGTTTCTGACCTGCTGTTATAGGCGCTGTATTTATACGGATAGTCCAGTTCAGTTTCTGGCCAATGGTAACCCTCCAGGATAGTGGGGGATTCAATGATTTAATATCATTGCCCAGGGGAGATGGTTATTGCCTGGCGCTTGTGTGGCATTAATGTTATCCTTTGTCAGCCCAAGCCTGTCCATGTGTTGCTGCATTTGGACTTGACTGCCTCAGTTGTTGGTCATATTGCATTTCCAGAGACATAAAAACATAGTCCCATACTTTGGTTTGCCAAATCGTCTGGCATCATTGCATTCATACAGCAAAAATGCACAACAAAACCTCAAAAGATAAGCAGCAGATTGTTAACTTTCCACAACAAAGTCAAAAAGCACTGCATCTGCATGTTCAATGCCTGGACTTTTAAATAATGCGTTGGGGGTGTTGGAGAAGAATGTCCCCTCGAACCATTGAACGAACATACGTAATCAGCTCTGATGAATTAGCACAGATGTTCAATGGGCATGTATGCATTGAGATTATGTAAGATGTGTCAAGTTGATGTCATATTCTGATCTCCCCTCACACTACCATACATGACATGGCTGCACTCGTGTCCTAATCAGCAAAGTGCCACATGGGACATGTGGGAAGTGGTGGGCAGCATGGCCTGCACCGCTTCATAGCTTTGGAGCTCCCATGGTGCCCATACCAGTAGTCATGTAGACTTCACAATAACTACCCATCTGTATTTAAAGAGAGCAGTAGGTGGATGGCATCAGGGCAAAATGATGCAGGAGGAGAAAACCTGCTTTAATCTGAACCTTACAAAATAAGCTTGTTGTCTGCTAGAACACAGTGAAATAAAAACAGGAAGTGTTGGAGAATCTCAACAGGTGTGGTCCATCTAGAATCATAGAGTCAGACAGTATGGAAACGGAACCTTCGGCCCACACATCTATATCAATCAACAAATACCAAACTGCGATACTCCCATTTACCTGCACTGGATCTATAGCCAGCTATGCCCTGGCATTTTAAGTGTTCATCCAGATGCTTCTTCAATGTTGCAGGAGTACCTGCCTTCATCACCCTCTCAGGCAGCGTGTTCCAATCTTCTACCAGTCTCTGGTGGAACAAATTTTTACTGAGATCTCCTCTAAACCACTTAATTCTCACCTTAAACTTGTGCTTTCTGGTCTTAGGCACATCTTTCATGGGGAAAAGATTGTCATGATCTACCCTATGTATGCCTCTCATAATTTTGTATGCCTCAGTGAAATACCCTCTCAGCCTCTTCTGTTCCAAGGAAAACAAACCCAGCTTATCCAGCCACATCTGTGGAGAGAGAAACATAATTAATGTTTTAAGACCAGTTTGACTCTTCTTCAGAACACACAGAAATTAGAGATTTAGTTATTTAATGTTTCTGTCTGGTTGAAGTGGCTATATTTGCTCAAAATTCAGAATTCTTAACACCCAATTTTCTGCAGTTGCTCAGCTTCTAAGCTGCTAAAATGTTGGACCAAAAATCTATGCATATTTCTACTTTCATGTGGAAGAGCCTCACCAATCATACTGTATAGTCATCTTGAGCTATTTCATCAATGATCTTTTCCACCACCATAGAATCAGAAGTGAGGATATTTCTTCGTGATTGCACAATCTCCAGCACCACGCACAACTCCTCAGGTACTATATGCATATCCATGTGCATATACAGCTAGGTCTGGACAGTGTTCAGGTTTGGGTTGAAGAGTGGCGATTAACTTTAATACCACACCAATGCGAGCTAATGACCATCTCTAATAAGAGAGAATCTAACTGGCTTCACTTAACATTCAGTATCATTACCATTGGCAAGGATCCTTCTATAAACGTCCTTAGGGGTTACGTTTGGCCAGAAACTTAATTGGACTCATCATATGTATACTCTGGTTACAAAAACAGACCAGAAGCTGGGAACTCTGGACTCCTGTCCTCCTAAAGCCTGTCCACCATCTGCAACACACATCTCAGGAGCAGGATGGAATACTCTCTATTGCCCCGATGAATGTAGTTCCAACATTCAAGAAGCCTGATACCATCCCAGAAGAAAGCAGTGTGGTTGATTGGGACCCTTTTCACCAATTTGAATGGTCAATCCCGAAAACACTGACTCACAGTGGAAGCAGTCTGTACCATGTACAAAGTGCACTACAACAACTCACCAAACCTCCTTCGACATAGCCTTCCAAAGCAGCAACCTCTATGACCTAGAAAGATGAGGGCAGCTGAAACATGGAAACACCACCTGCAAGTGCCCTCCAAGCCAAACACCATCCGGAGTGTTGCTCCTTCAATGGCACTGTGTCATGAGATGGACTGCAGCAGTTTTAAGTCAACAGCTCACTACAGTCTTCTTGAGGGAGATAAGTGATGGGCAACAAATGCAGCAGCAACATCCATATCCCATGAAAAACTTTTTAAAAAGTCACAATCTAGTGCTTGGTAATGTTGGAAGGTGTATTCAGGATTCAGTTCAAAATGTTGACAGTCAGCTTACTGATCCTTTTTTTGCCAGGGTTTGAGCTATAGGGACAGGCTGAATAGACTGGGGCTATTTTCCCGGGAACATCGGAGGCTGAGGGGTGACCTTATAAAGGTTTATAAAATCATGAGGAGCGTGGACCAACACCGTCGTATTATTTCCCAAAAGGGAAAATTGTGTGTGAGAATACCAAACAGCCAAACTTCTCTGAAATGGCGATGGAACCCACACCAATTTGTTATACTCACTCTAGCTCTGAGGTGTCTGATCTCCCTCCCTCTCTCTTGATCTATCCCACCCAGTGATTCCCCCACCCCTGTTATACCAGTACACCACCAACCCGGACCTCTAATTCTTTATATAGTATGCAAAATATGTAGACTTGTGTTTCTGTTCTCACGCCCAGCCTAGCATCCTTACGTCAGCATTGGAGGGATTCTAATTAATAGTAATAAAGTCTGAAGCCCCCTATCCAGTTGTTCTCTGCACCTTCTGAAAATTGCCCTCCCACATTTCTGCGTCATTAAAACGTTGTGCTGTTTAAGGAATTGAGAAGGTTATCTCAGTAATACTTATCATTCCTTAACCTCCTGCTGTCCAGCCCACAGCACCTGAACATGCATCGAGGAATTCTTGCTCACTGTTTTTATGCTTGTCTTCAAATATTGGGTGTCTACAATTTTCTTCTTTAATAAGACAAAACTATAACAGGATTGTCTACTAGAAAATATATACCTAAGATTTTGTACCTAGGTACCTTTGTACCTGAGATGACTCCAGGAATGGTGACTTTGTACACTTCACTGTCCTCTTGTATCCCTGTACTTGAGTACACGTGAGAATAAAACTTAATTCTAATTCTAATATGTAAAATAAAGCCTTACTTCAGTTGAATGATAAAGTCATGGATGTGTGCATCTAATATTCACTACAGTAATATTATGCCCTGTAATTTCAAGCAAGTCAGAAGTTTGAAAGTAAGTCCAGGAACACACAAGAGACACTAGTATAAAGCCTAAAGCATTTTGAGAAACTTACCTTGATTATTGATTTGGTCTTGTTAACATTTTTCCAAAGAAATAATTTAGACGTTTTTTGTAATCAATGAAAATTGTAATTATTCTGTTGTGCATAAATTATGCAGGTTCACAGAACGATCAGTTTGAAATTGAATAAGGTCTTTCACTGCATCAGCTTCAAAAAGGACAGCTTATTGCTACAAGGTGGGCCCTTCCTCTTTGTTTTCCTTAACTGATTTATAATTGCCAACTTTGATGGAACACGATCCTGCGTGTTTCATCACATAATCTGTTGCTTACAAGATGTTCACTTCAGAGCTGTCCTAATCGTTGTCCAACATGTCAGCAATTTCATGGCTCACTGGAGTGTTATTAAAATCTTTGTTAACTGATTTGAATGATTCTTGACTGTCAGCGAAGCAGCAGTTTTACCTCTTGCAATGTTTTTCTAAATAATTGACAAAAGATTTTAATTGAAACTGCCGGAGAGAAATTGCATCTATATTCATGGAACGATATTCCTTATATCCTCATATCGACTTCCACTTCTAGTTCTTCCCATTGCCTCTGAGCATCTGTCTGAAGGATCTGTTCTCACCAGCAACATCATTCCAAAGCACGCCCTCACCATCCTCCCAGCCCAATGGATATAGGACATCCCTCCCTTTTTTTAAACTCTTCCACCAAGACCTCCATTCAATGTGTGAAAACATTTGGTAGATGTTCTCTTGTATGTTCAGCTGTTACTTGAAGTATCAGAGCACAGATTCAGTTTTAAAATGATTGCTGCTACTACTTATAGCTATCAAACACCTTCCCTTTAACAGGTGCACTGAATAGCACTAGCCACCATGTAGAAGCTTGACATCATCCAGGCTTCTGCAGCCTGCAGTACACATCCACAAACATTCCCTCTATCACTGACACTCAGCAGTAGCTCTATGTACCATCTCCAGAAATTCAACAAAGCTACTTAGGCAGTGTCTTCCAAACACACAATGACTATCATCTAGAAGCACAAGGGCAGCAGATACATAGAAACAAAACCATCTGCAAGTTCCCCTCATTCTGACTTGGAAAAATGTTGCAGTTCCTTTAGCATCACTGGGTCAAAATCCTGGAACAATCTCACCACCATCTCAAGGTGAACTGGGAATGGGCAATAAAACCTAGCTCAGCCAGCGATGCCCTCATCCCATGAATGAGTATACATATTTTCAAAAAACTCTTACTTTATTAAAAGCATTGACTGCAAAAGCAAAGAAGTTCTGCTAATCCTTTGTCCAGTTAGGCCTCAGCTGAAGTATTATTACCAATTCTGGGTGTTACAATACATAAAGGATGTCAAAGCTCTGGAGAGAACGCAGAGGAGATTTTGCTCAGAAAGGACTAGGATACTTCAGATATATGGAAGGAACTAGAGGAACTGGGATTATTCTCTGTGGAGCAGAGGTACTTAAGAGAAGATTTGGTAGAGTTGCTTGAAATTTTGAAGGACTTTTGCTAGCAGGAAAAACTTCCCTGTGGCTGAAAAATGTTAAGCAGAGAATATAGATTTTAAGGGAATTGGGAAAATAACTGGAAATGGCATGAGTGAAAAAGATACACATAAACTTATATAGATCTGGACTGCGTTGCTTGAATCTATGTTAGAGGCATTTTCAATTACGACATTAAGAAAGGAATCTCATATATTTGAAAAAAAATTGCCAGGCAATGAGGAAAATGTGGAAGAGTGGGACTAATCGGAAAGATCTTTCAAAGAGACCTTTCAGATCTAATGGACCAAATGTACTTTATGCTGTACCATTCTATGACTCAGATACAGGCACTGCCAATTTGATACAAAGATCATAGACTTTTTTTCTGAGATTGAAAATGATTATAATTTACTAAAAATATTTTCTGTCCTTTCTGCTTTATTCCCCAGTATGTATTCTTCAGTTTTTGCAGACTGTCCTGAGAGACAAGTTCACAACTCCACTTCTTGCCATTACCAACCCTAACATTAGGAACCATCCACTACAGGATCAAGATGTCTTGCTGTATCCACTCTCTTATAAACAAGTCTTATTACTCTTCATCCATCTGCAAAACCTTCTGGTTCAGGTAAAAATATTGCCACATAAAATTAAATGAAATGCTGAGATCTTCTTTATTAGTTATTTTGTCTGCAGTAATCAGTGTAAACGTAATTAGGTGTGGACAAAGAATGCCTCTTGTTTGCCTGACCTCGTACAATAATCGGCAGACTTTTTCTGAAAATGTGCACGTGTTTTCGTCCACAAACTGGTTCATCAGTGGACTACATAGTGCGCCTGCTAATTTCTGTCAAATAGAGGGTAGTTTTAAGGTTTAAATTTGTTTGATTGGATTTGGGGTAGAAGAATGCAGGAATATGTTTACTGGCCCCGGGAAAATAGAACAGTCTGCTTTCTAGTCACTTTGATAGGGCTCTCCTTCCCTCCACTGAATGCTCACTTCTAGCTTGGCTTAGTCTTGCAGCTTTGTAGCTCATCCAAAATAAGTTGATGAAGCCTGAATTTCAGATAAGTTCAGACATCTTGAAACTGACTTCAGATAAAGGGGAGGGGGAGGGGAAAGAGGGGCTTTGTGGTGAAGCAGTTCTGTGAAATTAGGATAGGAAGATAAGAAAACAATCACTTAAAACATACCCTTATCTTGGAGATTAACAGTTGAAATTTAGTCATTATTTACACTAACAGATGTATGCATACATTTGACAGTTCTGTAAAATACTGTAACTTTTAATTGCAGGGAGATGACCTCCTTGTCTATGCTGCAACTGGTTGTCTGGAAGCATTGATGGAGTACTTGCACATTAAGGACCAAGCCACACGTAATGTTAAAACCTCGAACTGAATGCTGAAAATGTAAAATAAAAGCAGAAAGTATTGTAAGTACACATCAGGCGTGTGAACATCCAAACATCCTGCTTTTTAACAAAGGATTTGCATCTAAATTAACCTGTGTTTTACCTTTTAGATGTTGACACAAATAATGTGTATTTTCAAGACTTTCTGAAGTAAAAACTGGTTGTCTTCTGGTGGAAATCAGAGACAAAATGAACTAATTTTGTGCTCCACTCAAAGATGCCTGAAATCTGACAAATCCAATTGATGAAGAGTGACACCAACAGTGCAGGTTCAATTTTTATACCGGCTGAGGTCACCATGAAGGCCCCACTTCTCAACCTCATCCCTAGCCTGTGGAGTGGTGACTCGGGTTAAGTCACCACCTGTCATCTCTCTATAATGACAGAGCAGCCCTGTAATCCCCTGGGGCTATGGCAACTATTTTTTTTAAAATGTATTGTGGAGCAATTTCTTAGCGATTCTCAGTGGTCACCTAAAACTAAAATTAGAATTTTTGTACTAAAAACAGAAGATGCTGGAGAAACGCAGCAGATCTGGCAACATTTTTGGAGCGGGAAACAAAGTTAATGTTTCAAGTCTGAAATGACTCTTTTCCAGAACACTTGCTTCTGTTTTTAGACTCTTCTGCGCAACTGAGCTTTTCCTGTCATGGATTAGGCCTGGCAAGAATCTACCATCAATGCAGTAATTTTTTTACAGCTGGGTATAGAGCCAAGAGGCCACGTGTGCCTGAGTTTCACTGGCAACCTAGAATTAGGTCTCCCTCCTATTGTCCTTCCTTCAGGACTTAACCTAAGGGCTGCTATCAACATGTTTGAAATTAAGTTACTTTTGAATAATCTATTGTTTAAATAGTTGAGATTCATGATGCTTTTTTTGGATGCTTTGTGTTGAACTGAGATGGAAAAGTAAATTCTGTAGTTAGTATGAAATTTCCTGGTGAGGGATAATATTCAACTTCAGACATGTGCATTTTAGGTTATGGGCATTTATCTACTGTGTGCAACCTGAACAGACGTGGAAAAACTGGTGATCAATAGCTTAGTGAGAATGAAGCCAGTTTAGCAAGAGGTCTGCCTCATTGATAAGATGAGCTTGTAGAGAGGGAGGTTGAAGTGGGACAGAAATAGGAATGAATTATTGTTTTGAGCCTAGAGCCATGGGGAGTCTTCATGTCTAGTTTTGAATCCCAGATGGAAAAAAAACAGTAACATTCAGTAATGAATGTACTGTTCGTGGTGGAGCTCCATTTTGAGACAAGACAATTCAGACCAATATGTGTCATTGCAACTTTTATTGGTTTTACCTCTTGATGAGGAGAAGAAAAAGCATAATTTTGTTCTATTGCAAAAATATGCTTTATTCATTAAAAATTGTCTCTAAATACATAATTATTGATTGGTTCTCAATCCATTCTGTACAATCTTTGCATAGAGAAAAAAGAAATGACATTGAAATTTGACATCCCACAGAGCTAACAGACTGTTGTGAAAACAAAGGCATTTTTAAACTTATGCAGGAGAAATTCAATTTTTTGTTGCAAAAGTGTACTTTATTCGTAAAAAGTCTTTATGTACATATGCAGGTACTAAAGCAGTACTGTACAGTCTTTGCATATAAAGGAAAAACAAACATTGGAAATTGACATTTCCGGCAGTTGCAGAAACAAGAACATTTCCTACTCATGTATTTACATACATTTTGAAGCAAAGAGAGGGTCTGATAACTAAACTGACTACAACAGATTATTTTCATTGCAAAAATATACTTTATTCATTAAAATTTTTATATATATATATAGGTACTAAAGCGTTTCTGTACAGTGTTTGCACATCAAAAAAAGCAAACATTGGAAAATAACATTCCAAGCAGTTGTAGAAACCAAAGGCATTTCCTACTCATGCAAGAACTTTGGCAGAAAGACCTTTGACAGCAGCCTTTCCTAACTGCGCCTTAGTGGCAGCTGCCCCATGCTTTAGTGCATCCTTCAGCATGTTGTCCTGGACCTTGGCATGTCCTGGTCCACAACACTCCGTCAAGGTCAATTGTTTACATTGGAAGACCAACATGTTTTGGGCAGACCAAAGAGCATCTTCCACCGAGTTGATGATCCTCCAGGTGCAGTTGATATTTGTCTTAGTGTGCATCCTATGGAACATCCTGTAGAGCACAGCGCCCTGTGTCTCATAAGTGATCAAGACTAACCCCAACAAAAACCACTGCATCTCTCTCCAGACTTTCTTTGCAAAGGCACATTCCTGAAGGATATGTGTAACAGTCTCTTCACCAGCGCAGCTGCTTCGAGAGCAGTGTGCAGTGGCACACAGCGACCAGGTATACCTCAATGATCTGACAGCCAAGGCCCATCCCAGTGCTTGTTGTAATGTTCTGGCGATGAAATATTCTGTCAAATGACTTTTTGACAGTCTGCTTAAGAAACCGCACAACAGAGTCCATCTTCTCCTTTTCCTGCAGAGTCTCGAGGATGCTACGTGTTGACCATGTCCCGGGTGGTTTTCTTTGCAAACTTTTCCATGAAGGACAAGAGATACAGAATGGTCCAACTAGATGGAGCATTCCACAGCACTGTGGCCAGATCCATCCTTTGCAACACTGGGAACAGTACATAGTGAACGAACTGAGGGTCTACACACAGCTTGATGCAGCCGCACACAAGGTGACCATCAGGATGAGGCAGCGTTGGGTACATCTTTGTTCCCCCCTCCGCCCCCAATCCAGAGTTTTATACATAGTGTCCATGCAGACATGGTTCATCTTTGACCTCCAGATGAAGTGTTAGATGGCTCAGGTAATTGCAAAGGCACAGTTTCAGGGAATGGGCCTTACCTGCACCATGAACTGCAGCAGCAACAGTACCTCACACACCTGATGACAAGGTGTTTACCTGCTATGGGGAGAGAGTGATGCTTCCATAAGTGCAGTTTTTGACTAACATTGATGATACGTTTCTCCCAAGTTTTTGCTCACGCCCATCCCCTCAACCATCTTCCCAGTGCCTTCAAGTAATCAGTCTTGACGATGAAGAGGATAAAGGATCAGTCAGCCCAGATCCCAAATAATATGACCTTTCTCTTGCCTCCATTTACCTTGGCTACCAAGGCCACTTCAAACTGGTCACAGATATTCATGAGTCTGTGCACTGACAGTGTATCCAAACAGAAAACAGCAATGTCATACCTGTACAGGGAGGCTTTGACCTGCAGCCTCTGATGCCTGGAATAATCATCCCTCTCAAACTTGCATCCTTCCTAATGGACTTGGCAAAGGGTTCTTAACAACACATGAACAAGATTGTAGAGTGTAGGCAGCTTGACTTCAGATCTGATCAGGAAGCTTTCTGATTCCCAACCATTGATTGAGATTGCACTAACAATGTTGGTTAGAGCAGTTGATCAATTTCAGTTCCCTCCCCAAGACCAGTTTTGGAGAGCACATCCTCATGTAGGTGTGCGATATCCCATCAACAGCCTTCTCCTGGTTCAAGCTGATGAGGCAGATGTCCACCCGCTGTCCTGCATGTAGGCGATCGTATCCCTGAGGAGCATGAAGTTCTCAGAGATCTTCCAGTCTGGTACAGCACAGATTTGGTTAGGGTGAATCACCAGTCCCAGAGTGGATCTAATCCCATTTGACTTTCCCATTTGACTTTAGACAGAATACAACTTTTTAAGTTCAAAAATATAGTCTTCGTGAAAAATCTTTATAAGCATACATAGACACTAGAGCACTTCACTACTATACAGTCTTTACATATGTAGAACAAACCAACCCAAGGCATTTCTTACTTATACAAGACAATATTTAATTGCATTTGAGGCACTGGGAGAGTCTGATAACTGAAATGACCCCTATTTAACTTCAGTAGAAGGACTTTAGGCAGTGGTCTCTCCCCACTGCGTCTTGGCGGCAGCTGCCCCACGCTTTAGTGCATCCCTCAGGATGTTGTCCTGGACCTGGGAACACGCCAGTCTGCAACATTTGGTTGACACCAAATCCTTGCTCTGGAAGGCCAACAAGTTGTGGGCAAACCAAAGAGTATCTTCCACTAAGTTGATGGTCCTCCAGATGTAGTCGATGTTTGTCTCAGTGTAAGTCCTAGGGAACAGACTGTAGAGCACAGAGTCCTGCGTCATGGAGTGGGTTGGGACAAACCTTGACAAAAACCACTGCATTTTTCTCCAGAGTTCCTTTGCAAAGGTACATTCCAGAAGGAGATGTGTGACAATCTGTACCCCCTCACAGCAGCTTCAAGGGAAGCGTGCAGTGGTGCAGAGTCCGGGCGTACGTGAAGGATCTCACAAGTAGTGCATTCCTTACCACAAGCCATGCGATGTCTTGGTGCTTGATGGAAAGTCCTGATGATGAAGAAATAAGATGTAGATCAAGAATACTACCTGGATTTAGAATAATGGAAATTTAACATCACAGAAAACAGTTGATTGGTGAATAGGTTTGGTCAGTATTTAAATCTTTATAGTGAAAGTTGGGCACTTAGTTTGTGTTTAAGTCTCTGGAATTTTTTCCTCTTTTTCTGAGAAATATGTTGTTGAGTTTTCATAGTAAGTCTCTACTTATTCTAAGGATAACAAATAGTTTTTAGATTTATGAGATGGCATGTCAGAAGGACCAAGTGGAGTATACATCATGTTATGGTACATCCATGACTTCACACATCTGTTCCAGAAACATATCTGCAGCAAGTGTCACAAACTGCATAAGCTTGAGCTTCATGTTTCAGAACTTAAGCAAGAGCTGGAGGCAATGTTGTGAGTCCACAAGGCAGAGGTCTATGTGGATAACGCATAGAGGGATGTGGTCACTGAGCAGATTAGAAGCGTATAGGCAGTGAGACTACCAGGCAGTCTCAGAAAATTAGGCATGTAGTACAGGAATCCCCTGAGTCTATCGTACTTGCTAATCGATATTCCATTTTGGAAATTGA